GGTGCACGTAAAGTTTGTAGTAGTTCACATCATTTGTCTCTGGTAGGCGGCGACTACGTCTGACGTCAATTAACTGGCATCCAACTCTCACATGTGGCTCCTCGTAGCTACGCTCCGCCTATCGGCCACATCCCGGTAACCGTCTGGACCGGCGGGCTAAACTAGGTGAGGGTATCCGGTGTTGTGTGCTTCCACACCCGGTAATTCTTCTTCTCATCCCCCCTCTTTACCCCCTCCTTCAAATGGTCGTACGGAGAGGGCGACATGCAATCCCGTAGGTGACCCAGGCTAACTCGGATCGTTCTCACAATAAACAAAGTCTTGACAACGTGGAATTCGGCGTAAGTCTGAGTTGTGTGAGCAGCCCTATTTAGGGGTAACTCTAATCACCTCCCGAACAATCGCTAGATAATCACGGTATCTGCAAGCCGAACGTGGTTTATGTACCCAAAACACGTGGTCGACTAATACAACAACAACCTGAGTCCCACCCTCATGCCTCCCCACAGACTTAAATAACTCTCTAGCGAGCCTGCGTCCACCTGTACGTGAAAGCGTATTCGTCACCATCGTCAACGGGTACACCGAATCCTCGACGACCGAATCCGATGGGACGAAGAACAGTTTCTTCAAAAACCCACACGCCCTCCTATCGACCGTGCCGAAGGCGGATAAAACTAGTTATCCGTAGAGAGCTCAATGTCCGCGTTGCCACAACGCATGCTGCTTAAGTGGAAGTGCTCAGTCCTCACGACTTCGACAGCTGAAATAGCAGTGACCTCCTCCGCCAACAGGCCTGGGCAGAACACAAACTTAATCTTACGAACACCTTCCGATGCAGGAAAGATCGACACGAATGTATACTCACTCGCATCAACGCATCTGATGAATCGCTCTAAGGCGTGACCAACGTGATGTCCTCCTGGCTAGGGCAATGTGTCGTGCCGGTTTCTGGATGACTCACAGCGTTGTAATCTCAAAGATGAGGCTCAAGTCGCAGCCGCACAGACGACCGCAGGGGTAGTTGATATCAGGTAAATTAAACACTATATTACCTAATACGGCCAAACGCTGATTTAATTTTGCCAAATGCATGAATTCCGGATTGGAAAGAATGTCAACACTGAAGGCGCATATCAAGGTCAGAAAGCACTAGATTGGGCTGTGGAATACCATTCAGACCACCAAGACGGAAGCCTGCGACCGAGCGCCGTCAGCACAAGGACTTGTTTCGGGACAACGACGAGGAAGTCTGCAATTGCCTGCGCGAGACACAGTCTACACACGGCCTGCACCATTTACATCAGCAAAACCAACAAAATAGCATACTTCCAATGCGGACACTTACTAAAATAGAATGAGGAAGATGACGAGGAGTTGGTTGACTCTCCCAGCTGAAGAAATTTAGAGATGTGTCAACCATGGTGAGATAAATTATATGCGGTAATCAAGGTAGTCTATGGTCCCCAAGCAAAGACGACTGTTCTAGTAGCAAACTAGAGTGGAGCAAACCTCCCGACAGGGAAGTCACAAATCCGGAAGCACTGGGATGCAACCACAGTCTCAACCTTCCCCTCCTGAAATCGCACATTTGTATCGCGCCTCGGCCTGATGAGCCATTCTCGAACCCAACGCCCTGTGACTGGCGTACTAGTGTTGGGAGTTCCCACGTACACCCATCATACATGCCACACTTGCCCACACCTCCCAAGGTCACTTGGTCATCTCCCGAGCCCAGTTGGCAATATGCATCCGTTCGCAAATCTTCGACAAAACGTCACTCCCGACTCCATCCGAACACTTTACCCTGTCTGGCCACACACATCCATAGGCCACATATGGACTTTCTCCACACACCGCGCCACAGCCCGTTAAATGCACACCTCTTTCTGACTGAAATTTTGTGATCTGTTTCGGCGTCCCTGGTATGGTCAGCGGACCGTCACATATGAGAGCATACGTTCCTCGCGCAGTGAGAAGCATGCTCGTCGACGTATCCTAATACATTACTTGGTGACCAGGTAGTGTGGCACACGCCGATGGGTTTTTCTAGCTCCGTCACTCACTTTGTCCAATCCAATCATTAGCCGGTTCACAGACTCAGACAGTCGACTGGTGTATGGAAAAGTGAGGAATGATGGAGGTTGATACCGGAAAATCCATCCCTACAGCACGCCACGGCATCCTTCACGAGAACAAATCTGACGCGCCTAAGTCTATCACACATACTCTAAGTTTGGCTTATAAGGTGGTAGATTGAAGGACAGCTGTGTCCTCAAAGTTAGAAATGTGTGCATATGTTGCGGTGACTGGTTGCAGGGATGACAGTCAGGCTCATTTATGTTACTTAATATGATCTTTGAGGCATTCACACAGCTCTCTTTGAAACTCCGGTATATTCTCGTGGAAGTAAGCTGCGTGTGGCACAAGTAAACGGTGTGCTTAATTCTGCCATCCACCGCAACCGAACCGATCTCCGGTCGTTTTGACACTGGGTTGCCCTCGGATCTAGGCGGTCGAGGGAGGGGATGGTGACGTAGATGCAGCGCAAGTCCTCCCTAATTTAAACACATTCAGAAGCTATTCTCCGGCACTGAACTCGCCCTGTAGGGCATACTATGGACAACGTCATTCGCGACAGTTGAACTGCCAAAGAAACGTCCTCCTAGTACCTTTTTCAGATGGGAAAAGACATCTGTATGGCATTTAAATCCACGAAAGCATCATATACTGCCACATCTTTTGTTCTTAAAAAAAGAGTTTGATAGTCCGCCGTGAAGACGTTGTCTTGTAGAGCCCCAAGTTTAGAGATTGCAACACTAACTGTGCCGAAACTGTCTTCAGCAGGTTGATCGATAATTGCCTGGGGTACTTTCTTCCGCGCCGTCGAGGGAATCTGGGCAAAGCCTGGCAAAATGGAAAGGGTTGTAACAGCCGCTCCAGTCTCCCTTTTCTCCGGCTCCGTTTTTTCGGTCGATGGCCGCGACGAGTACTGAGAGGCCGCTGACACACGACCGACCCCGCCGGCTAGAACTGGGGCACCTCCTGTCCAGCTGCAGTGACCCCCGGCTGCCCTCACAAACTAGTATCACCTAACGCGCGTCGAACGCTTTGGCTTGATTCCCGTGAGGCCTTGTGAGTATGCGCCCTCCATTCCTCCCCTAATTTGTCCAATCACACGACTAACACTCAGCCAGTCACCCCTCCTGCTGACCCAGACACCCACTCCCGCGTAAACACAACACACCGCGACTAACGCTCTCCGTGAACGGACGCTTTTCTCTGTTGCAAGCAAACAGCCAACTTACGGCAACCTGCCCTGTGTACAGAATAAACTAGTCCTCACAGCTCCCTGACTTCTGACAGTAGACGAAACGAACTTATTGTGCGTGGTTTAAGTTGATCACACATCCTTGACCGCCACAAATTGGTGACCCCGAATTTCCGAACACTGGAATTCCGCAAACATTTCGTCCACAACAACAATCTTCCGGCGACCTAAAGCGCGATGTCCCAAGACCAGAAGTCACTCATCAACTCAGATTCTCAAGGAGCTAGCGTTCGCTTGGATCGGCTCGAGGAGGTATTAATGCGCCTGAAAGCCCAGCTTACTGCAGTTAGCACTAACGGCCCGCGGCGAACACCAAACCTTCGCCGTACTTCCTCCGTTTCCCACACCCGCCGTCCACAATCTCCAAGTAACGTCTGCTGGTATCACCAACAATTTGGGGGAGCAACTCGACGATGTCTTCAGCCATGCTCTTTTAAGGCATCTCTAACGGCCTCAGGGAGACGATCCCACCCGACAGTAGAGGCCACTGCTGCTGGAAGCGTTGCCAATCTTCACACTCGCCGTCTGTTTCTCTGGGACCGCATCGCTGGCGCCAAATTCCTTGTCGACTCTGGTGCCGAGGTTAGCGTGGTTCCACCAACTCCGACCGAACGCAAACACCGCAGCTCTTTTTGTCCAACAGCTGCCAACAACTCCAGCATCTCCACCTTTGGACAGCGCTCCATCACACTCGATTTGGGCCTTCGTCGGATTTTCCGATGGGTTTTCATTATTGCCGACGTTTCCGTCGCCCTCATAGGCGCCGATTTCCTAGCTCACTTCAATCTACTAGTTGATTTGAAGAATCGCCGACTCGTTGACTGCATCACCAACCTTCATGCCCGTTGTCAATCCGATGTGAACTCCTGCGTCAGCCCTCTTACTATTATGCCCATTTCTGACTGTCCTTTCCACTCACTCCTCAGGCAGTTTCCCCGCCTGACCAACCCCTCATTTCGAGAAGTGGACATCAAGCACACAGTCCCCCACCATATTTCCACCACCGGACCTCCCAAATCTGGCCGACCACTTCGTCTTGCTCCGGACCGTTTGAAGATTGCCAAGGCAGAGTTTGAACACATGCTCGAGCTCGGCATCATCCGACAGTCCGACAGCTGCTGGGCATCACCCCTCCATCCTGTCCTAAAGAAGAGCGGCGACTGGCGACCGTGTGGTGACTATCGGGCGTTAAACTCAGTGACTGTCTCCGATCAGTATCCCGTCCCGCACATCCTAGACTTCACTCTTTCGCTAAATGGTCAGCGAATATTCTCTAAGATCGACCTTGTGCGTGCCTACCACCAAATCCCGATCGAGGCCAGTGATGTTCTGAAAACTGCAGTGACCACTCCCTTTGGGTTATTCGAATTCACTCGTATGCCCTTTGGTCTGAGGAACGCCACTCAAACCTTTCAGCGATTCATTGATCAGGTTCTGCGAGGTCTCGACTTCGTCTACGCCTACATTGATGATTTGCTAGTGGCTAGTTCCGACGCTGCTGAACGCGAGATTCATCTTCGACAGCTCATCGGACGGCTCGACTCCTACGGCGTTATCAACACTGTATATTCCCGATCGAAAACCGACAAGGCAACGAGCTCGTCGCCCGGTGAGTAGAGGCGTTGACTTCTAAACCAACAGGTCGCGAGTTCGAGGCTCGGGTGTTCCACACTTCGGGCTTGGGTATGGCTGGCTGACATAGTTCCGACGCTGCTGAACACGAGATTCATCTTCGACAGCTCATCGGACGGCTCGACTCCTACGGCGTTATCATCAATGCCGTCAAATGTGAGTTAGGAGTCCCCAGTTTAGCTTTCTTGGGTCATGTAGTAGATTCTGAGGGAATCAAGCTTGTCCCTGATAAGGTTTCGGTCCTATCAACGTTCCCCGTCCCGACAACCATCAACCAACTACGCCGATTCTTGGGAATAGTGAACTATTATCACCGTTTTCTTCCCCATGGTGCCACCATTCTGCATCAACTCAACAGACATTTGACCCACTCCAAGAAGACACTGGTGATGACCGGGGAGGCCGTCAAGTCCTTCAATGACGTCAAGGCCGCACTTGTGAGCGCAACACTACTAGGCCAACTAACTCTCATGACAGATGCTTCCAGCATTGCCGTTGGTGCATCACTGCAGCAAACTGTTGGTGGTATTCTACAGCCTCTGGCTTTCTTCTCGAAGAAGCTAAGCCCAACAGAGACCCGCTACAGTGTTTTCGGTCGAGAACTGCTCGCCGTCTACCTATCCATCCGGCACTTTCGCCATTTCCTCGAGGGTCGTGAATTTGTTGTTCTAACAGACCACAAGCCACTCGTTTTTGCACTGAGGGCCTCTCCCAACCGATACTCGCCCCGTGAAATTCGTCATCTAAATTTCATCTCACAGTTTTCCTGCGACATCCAACATGTCCATGGTAAGGAAAATGTGGTTGCTGATGCTCTTTTAAGAATCGTGATGGCTTCCATCACAACAGAGGCCGTAGAATTCACACTCATGGCTGAGGCTCAACGATCGGATGACGAGCTCTCCCAATACCGCCACGAGAACTCTTCTTTAAGCCTTCAAGAGGTCCCCCTTCCCACTGGTACAGGCACCATCACGTGTGACCTTTCTACCGGACACGAACGTCCTTTTGTTCCAGCAACTTTACGACGACGAGTGTTCAACGCTCTTCACAATCTATCCCACCCTGGAGTCCGGGCGACAGTGAAACTCATCACTGACCGATTCGTCTGGCCCAACATCAACCGGGATGTACGGCGTTGGACCCGATCCTGTTTGTCATGTCAGCGAGCCAAAACGCATCGGCATACTATTACTCCGCCAGGAACTTTCGCCACTCCTGATGCACGCTTCAGTCATGTGCAAATTGACCTGGTAGGTGCGCTGCCACCATCTAACGATTCTACCTATACGCTGACATGCATTGATCGCTTTACTCGGTGGCCGGTTGCTGCGCCCATTCCGGACATCAATGCCGAAACCGTTGCGAAAGCTTTCTTGACTCATTGGGTGTCCAATTTTGGAGTTCCTGCCACTGTCACCACTGACCGCGGATCCCAATTCGAGTCCACGCTGTTTCGCGAACTCACATCCCTTCTCGGTACCAACCGAATCCGAACAACAGCGTACCACCCTCAAGCAAATGGTCTCGTCTAACGCTTCCATCGACAGCTCAAGACTTCCCTTATGGCCCAGCCCGATCCTTCCCGATGGTCTGATCACCTTCCCCTGGTGCTGTTGTCCATCCGTTCCACTCTCAAGGCCGACATCGGTTGCACTTGTAGCAGCTGCTCCAGTCCCCCTTTTCTCCGGCTCCGTTTTTTCGGTCGATGACCGCGATAAGCGCTGACAGGCCGCTGACGCACGACCACCCCCGCCGGCTAGAACTGGGGCACCTCCTGGCCAGCTGCAGTGACCCCCGGCTACCCTCACAAACTAGTATCACCTAACGCCCGTCGAACGCTTTGGCTTGATTCCCGTGAGGCCTTGTGAGTATGCGCCCTCCATTCCTCCCCTAATTTGTCCAATCACACGACTAACACTCAGCCAGTCACCCCTCCTGCTGACCCAGACACCCACTCCCGCGTAAACACAACACACCGCGACTAACGCTCTCCGTGAACGGACGCTTTTCTCTGTTGCAAGCAAACAGCCAACTTACGGCAACCTGCCCTGTGTACAGAATAAACTAGTCCTCACAGCTCCCTGACTTCTGACAGTAGACGAAACGAACTTATTGTGCGTGGTTTAAGTTGATCACACATCCTTGACCGCCACACACTGCAGCTGATCTTGTCTACGGAATTTCCCCACGACTGCCCGGTGAGTTAGTTTCTCCCTCAAACATGCTAACGTTTTTGGAACCTTGCAGTTATGTGGGGAAGCTGCGTAGTATCATGCGCAATCTCCGCGCAACGCCCCCTCGGGCCTCACCGGCCAATTCCTTCATCCCTCCCGACCTGGATAAGTGCGATTTCGTCTTGGTTCGGCATGACGCTGTCCGACGACCACTCCAACCACCTTATGACGGGCCGTTTAAGGTCCTTCGTCGATCTGACAAAGATGTTGTCACCTATCGCAACGGCAAGACCGACACAGTCAGCATTGATCGCGTCAAGCCGGCCTACATCGACGACAGTGACCATTCCTCACCTCAACACTTTACCCCGCCTCAGACAGTGCGGCCTCCTCCACCTACTGGCGACAGACCGCCTCCGGTTCGCCGCACACGATCTGGTCGCCACGTCCACTGGCCCGACCGGTTTGTGGCTGGCTAGCATGTCGACGCCTTCACTTCGTTTGGTGTCTGGGGGAGAGTTGTAACAGCCGCTCCAGTCTCCCTTTTCTCCGGCTCCGTTTTTTCGGTCGATGGCCGCGACAAGTACTGAGAGGCCGCTGACACACGACCACCCCCGCCGGCTAGAACTGGGGCACCTCCTGTCCAGCTGCAGTGACCCCCGGCTGCCCTCACAAACTAGTATCACCTAACGCGCGTCGAACGCTTTGGCTTGATTCCCGTGAGGCCTTGTGAGTATGCGCCCTCCATTCCTCCCCTAATTTGTCCAATCACACGACTAACACTCAGCCAGTCACCCCTCCTGCTGACCCAGACACCCACTCCCGCGTAAACACAACACACCGCGACTAACGCTCTCCGTGAACGGACGCTTTTCTCTGTTGCAAGCAAACAGCCAACTTACGGCAACCTG